ATGACACAATATTTAGATTCCAATTGCACAAAGTTCAGAGAAAAATGATGCCGTTGATCAAGCGTACATCGCTTTGGAAGTGTAAACTATTTATTCAAAGACCAAAATAAATAAAATATATTTCATTTGAATGTTTGTTGAAACTCCGACCAGATTGGCATTATTATTTAAATGTGGCCACTTCATTAAATAAATACGCGTGGATTTTAATTTGAATTTTCGCAACGAAAATGAATTTTTGATCATTGAGTGCATCATTGAGTGGCAAATAATTTATATATGGGTCTAAATATTTCTTTTACTTTAACACGTGTTAAGTCGATTTTAGTGATAAAATAACACTAGAACCTTTTCTGAAGTACTATTCCTACATTTACCACTATTTCGTAAATTATCACCAAAAATTGGTACTAATGGATGTATTTAACACCAAACGTAAATATTTTCGTTGGAAATACCACCAATATCGGTATCAAATATGCCGATTTGCCACTAACACAGATTTTCGTACTATTGTAAATACGTTCTTACTTTGGAGTTAGCCACAGTACGAAAAAAGTTATCACGAAAAAGAATATTCTAATGTAATTTCTGTTGAGTTATCCCATAATTTCGTGTTATAGTTGTACCCACTATTTACTAGTATTAGGAATATCACCAGTTCTGCTTATATGTGTTGCCAATATATATTATTAGTTGCAATTTCGATAATAATTCTGAGTGATTAATTTTATTTAGTTCACACTTCAATTTTTTTGTTCAGTCAATATGAACTCACATGTTTCCGAAAGACATTGTTGGATCAAAGATCATCAACCCAATGAGGAAAACGTTACAGTTGTACACATTTTGTGCACAGCTTATGGAGAAATTACATTGGCCGTGCACAAAATGTGTACAACTGTAACGTTTTCCTCATTGGGAAATTTAAAAAAATTAAACAACAATTTTTCTATCTCTGGAGTCTGCATTCTTATTGATACTGATCCAAAATTGATATTTTTCCAATTTATAAGATTTTTTCGTGGATTAGTTTCTTAGGCTTGAAAATAACTCGAAATTTCCCGAATTTTCTTCAAAACTTCCAAAAGGTTTGAGAAGTTAGATTTTTAACCTGGACAAATTTTGAACGCATTGAATGATAATTTTGAGAAAAATAAATGAAACTTCTAGCAGACTTAAAACTTAGACTTCAAACCTGAATAATAATTTCAAGCCGTTTTTCAAACAATATCAATTTTCAGAACAAATAAATGAAATTTTTAATTTGGCTTAGAATTATTATTCAGGTTTGAAGTCTAAGTTTTAAGTCTGATAGAAGTTTCATTTATTTTTCACAAACTAATCATTCAATGCGTTCAAAATTTGTCCAAGTTAAAGATCTAACATCTAAAACCTTCCAGAAGTTTTGAATAGAAATGAATTAGGCTTGGAAAAAATTAAAATTTTATTTCTTAATTTTATCTTGTTTTAAAAATAATTCCAAAATATCCAAGAAATTTTTTGTAGATATAAATAGCTGAAAGCATTTCAAACAAGTAAACAATGTTATTAAACAATAAAATATAATTGGAATTTGCAATCATCTATGTTAAAACACAATTTGACGTCATTTTTTCCGTTTTAACACGAAATTCCACCATTAGCACCAAAATACGGAGATAACGCGTATTAAATGCATAGACATATTTACATTTCCAGTGTTAAACTAGTACCGAAGTTATCACAAAAATCGACTTAACACGTGTTAAAGTAAAAGAAATATTTAGACCCTATATGTATTGAATTTGCTACTACACTTCTGATTTGCAAGTGTTTATATTCGAATTGAATTCGTGAACACATCAAATGAACGAATTTAAGCAGCAGCCATAAAATCGAACGAGTGAACAGGGTTGGTCAGTATTTTTAATAATAAAATTTCTATTCCATGTTGACGAATAAGTATTGACATTCATCGTTGACGAGTATCTGAAAAAGCGGCTTTAACGCAATGCCATTTCCAGTGAATTTAATTATTCAATTCCGACGAACGATGACACACACACACACGCATCACGGCCGAACCACTCGTAATTTTATCAACTTAATCATCGGCTAAACCGCAAAAACATTTGCAAATACAATATTTAGCGAGCGGAAAAAAAGGGCAACGACTGATTGTGTAATTTTCGTAGAGAATTCAAGCGAGTGGTCAGTGTTGGTTGTGGGTTTTTCAAACGTCATCCGATGATTCGTTCATTTCAACATCGTAATTAAATTCATTTATATTCCGTGAGTACAAAATTATTTGCGTGAATGAAACGAATTGCGTTTGATTTGATTTGTTTTTCAGTTGTGGCCAAAATGTTCACTTGTATCGATTTTCGATGGTTGTTTTTTTTCGGTAATCATCGTAACATTTAATTGAATTGGCTATGATATGTAGTTAGATTGATGGTTTTTGTGGATGTTTTCAATTTTCTGCGTCCACACACATATGTGTATTCCACCGTTTTGAGCTGCGAACACCATTTTCTAGTCTATGTATGGTGTTGAGAGAATCCATTTTATTTGAGCCACTTTAAACCCATTTGATGGTAATAAGCTTTCATTTCCCTAATACATATTCGAAATATTCGACCATTGGGTTGAATCGCCTACTGTGTGCGTTTATGTGGTGTGTGTGCGCACTATTGCTTGGTTTTGCATAGAAGTTGTCCCCGTTGTTCAACTGGACCATTGAAATCTATACAAAATGAGGCATGGGTCATACGGGCCAAACGATGCGAACTCAATAACGTACAACTTCATTTCATTTATTTCTATTCATGCCATGATTTACGTCTGAACGACACAAAAACGGCATTCAAACTACAATAAGACCGTGATATATTACACTTTGGCACTTCAACATTCAAATCGCCGCCACTATTACCAACAGTGGAGCGCGCATGCCGCACCAATTCCATTCTATTTTCCCAATTCACTCTTTCTCACACTCTCCCTAGCCCATTCACTCACTCACACTTTCGGATGGCTGGAACAATTCAAATGCGTGCCGAACATTCATTTTGTGTTTATAAGCGACTAAATTAGATTGTTTTACTGCATTTTGAACAGTATTTTAGTACCCTTTAGACCTTTTAGCCATACATTTGAGAAATATATGGTCATTCGACGCTCTGCTCTCCGGTTTTGGCCTTAATTCATTTAGGTTCAGTTTCAATGGTGTTACGGGGCTTTTTTCCTCTTTTCTTCTTTTGACTGCAGCTCTTTTTATTCCACATTAGCCAATTAACTTTCACTTCATTGCGAGACGCTCTCACTGCCATCTCGGCTCTTATTACTCTCTCTTGCTCTTTCTCCATCTTTTTTTCCTAGTTCGTTCAGCTCTTTTACATGAATGCCAGTTAGTACATTTATCTCCGATTCGGATTTGTGTCACTATACATTAATACCCGTCGTTGAAGTGTATGCGCTGGCAATTCTGTTACAAGCAAGAGCATTGACACCACAAATAAACGATATATTCATTTGCCATGTTATGTGTCCATGTCCGTGTCCGTAGATTTAGTATTTAAGTGGTATAGTTTCATTCAGAACGCATGCTGTCGATCGAATCTCATTTCGGATATAATTTAATATTGTGAGCCATACCATTCGAATGCTTTAGAATGATCCCTGCATTCTCAGAGCTCGGTTGTTTGTTTACGCTTATTACCACTGAACGTGAACATAATACGTTCTCGAATTGGATCACAATTTTTTCACACCGCGCTCCTCTTTCTCCTCAAATCCAAAATGGATAGTTGAATTGTTTATGAATGTTCTGTCATCGTGGGTTTAATGCGCAATGACCTAATACTGACACTTCTGATCTTGTCACGACAATTTATATTTTCATTCGTCCTTTTAAAGAACTTGTTCATTTTGTGCTGTCCAATATTTTGGCATATTTTCACTAACGGATATCCACGTGTATGTGTGTGTCAATGTATTGAAGCACATTAATTATACATACCCAACTGGAATTTTGCTCAATGCTCACACAACTTACACCGAGCGCACATTGAACAGAAAAATTTATGGCTATACATATTTAATGAGGCGAAAGAGCGAGAATATCTTGGTGTTGTTTGTAGCATTGCAATCGTATTTATGGGCAAAATGTGCAATGTGCATCGATTGAAAACGTTGTGTGCATGGAGAATATAGACTCGACTCGAAACCGACTCAATATCGTCGAAAGAGCTGAATGAAGGTGGAAAAGGCCACATCATTTTGTTTATTATGCGTGCTGCACACAGCTCGATACCATCCACCCAACCGACAAATACACACACCTACACACATATCCACATTAAACAAAACGAGATATGTGCGCGTTTACTGCGCTCAAATGTATTCACCACTATTTTATCTCATTTGATGTGTTCTATTAAGAATGGAGGAAAAACGTGGAAAACCCTCATCACGAATGGCAACAACGGCGGAACAGAAGAGAGAGCAAAACAAAAAATGCAGAAGGATTTATGAATTCCAGTTCACAGGTCATCACTAATGCACGAGATGCCATTGTAATGTTTTGATATTAAGCAAAATAAGTGAACAGTATCTTGGAGTTCAAATGCAAATGATTGTTCAAGTGCATGGCACGGTGACGGTATCAGGAGATTTGTGCCAATTTTAAAATGCAATTTTTGATCTAAAACCCCCAGTTGTATAGTTGCGCTGCGAAAAAAAAACAGCCACAGCATTTGTCTAAAACGATGATGCTCCATGCATTTCAGTGAACTTAAGTTCTTTGTTTATGCTTAAACCGTATGAAATGTAAAAACGCTGAAAAATTTATGAGCATTAGGCTTCATACAATATTAACGGACGATGAATTTTCAATAGAAAACCGCCAATTAAATTGCCTACATACACTAGATAAATATAATCGAGTTCGCTTAGCTTAAATTCTTTGGGCATCACACTAATAACAATTTGTGTATTGTGGTGCACTTTCTAAACAGGCTATGGAAATTTGGCGCCACGTACAACGCTTGGTCGTATCGCGACGATGGTGTATGCAATACTGGGAATCCCATTAACATTAATTTATTTATCAAGTACGGGCGGTGTTCTGGCACGTGTTGCTCGCGGTGTATTTTCACGGTAAGTCAGCTTAACAATGAGCAATCAATTGGAATATTGCGAAAACATGCGCTTAAATATCGCAAAGAATGCACAAGCACATCAAGCCGAACAAATAGAACTGTTTGTGTGTATGTTTTTGCGTCACAAACAACAATAATATGGTTGAGCCATTTAACACGTATTATTTGGTCGAATCATTTAGAAGATTATGTCTTCATTATCACCTATTTAAGCAAATTATACCGTAATTTCAGCGCATCGCAATATCCATATGGTAATTTCTAGTGTCTTATTTCTGCTTTTTTCTCATTTTTTCTGATGCTTTTTCTCTCTCTTTCTATGCTCCATACTCCATACCCATAAAAACCGATTGTTTGCTCCATCGGACTCGCAGAGCGCTGTGCTGTTGTCTGTGCTCAAACTGTGGCTACTGTTGCTACGATGAAAAGCGTATGGCTGAGAAAGAGCGTCGTTTGAAGCGAAAACGTCAACAAGAGGAATTACGTGCCCAGCAAATGGCATTACAGGAACCGTATTATGTGCGATCGAATTCACTGCACAATAATCTTCATTCGCCAGAGAAGCAAATCCAAATGGCCGATGTGGAATCGATAAGTACCAGCGAATCGAGAACATCAATGCATGGCTTAAGCATACTTGCACCGATTCTCTTGTGCATGAGCATGATGACAATTTATGTGCTATTTGGTGCACTTGCATTGGTACGGCTCGAAGGATGGCCATTCATACAGGCAATCTATTTTTGTTTTATGAGTTTATCGACCGTCGGTTTTGGCGATATATTGCCCGGTTTGCATAAGGAATCGAGCACAACCACATGGTTTTGTTCGATTTATATTATGTGCGGAATGGCATTGACAGCCATGTGCTACAATGTGTTGCATCAAGAAATTGCCTATCGTTTACGTACCATTGTCGATACGAAACACAAAATTTCACATATCTCACGAGCAGCCACAGACGATCCAAACGATTTTCTAGCCTCCTGACGGTACGAGAAAAATACCAATCTATATCACCGTAATCCCACTGAAGAGACATTAATTACGGGTAAGTTTTTTTTTTTCTTTGCTGCTGTTGCTGAAGCTGATGCTGTTTGGTGTTGCAAAAAGTATAGACTTTCTTGTACCACCACCGGGAACCAGTTTCACCTCAGTTTTCTCCCTCTTCAAATTCGTGTTGCGCACTTAAGTTTATCACCTGATTTTTCAATTATAACCACTCGGCCACCCACACCGAAAACACCATTTTATCCATTATGAGGTGATTGATTTTCTGTATTTCTTCTTTTTTTTCCTTTTTCCTCTTGCTCTTTACTTTGATTTGATTGAAATGACAGGAACACCAACGTCATTGCTGTTCGCACAAGAGCCCGACATGAGTCAATTGAACGTGCTTAAGGACTGTAGCAATCATGCCTTGGGCCATGAATTAGTTCCAATTGTAACAATGAATGAGCAAATGGCATCGATGATGCCTGAAGTGTTGGACAATTTACCGCCACCACCGCCCATGCAAATTCAAATGATTTCAGTGTCACAACAATCACCGATGCAAATGCAATCGTCATCTCAACCGCTGCAGACAACATCACAAGCAGCCATGGGACTGACTGGTGTCTATACATTGACCGAAGAACCGGAACTCGAAGCTGAAGAGAATACATCAATGTAATCGAATTTCGTATGAATGGACGAACGGATCAATCGACCCACAGAATAAAAAAAACACTGATTCGTAATGTGTCGAGTTGACACAACGTCAACCATACGAAAACACTTTCCGATCTTTTTAAAAAAAGGACCTTTACATTGGTGACAAGAGTGTTTCGTTACACGCTATGGGTTCATTTTGTCATTCAATTAATAATAAGTTGAAACCGAAATAAAAGTAAAAATAATCGGATCATATTTTACATGAAAAAAAATGTATAACAATTGAATCGATGTACATAAAAAAAGGGAGGCAGAGGCCATTGTCGTGTTATAGCTCATCATTGAAATAATAAACCTAGGGAAAAAAGCTGAAAAACACTCATAAAACAACATGTAAATTAAAAATTTACCATAAAATATCAGCTCATATTCACCCATTCACCCATTCACGTCATAAAGTGTATAATTTTATTAAATGGAACATGTAACCATTGGTCGAGCGAGCAACGGAAAAAGAGAGAGACAAAGAATATGTTCAGTAAAAATGCGAAACAACTCAATTAATTTCGATCGAGTTTATGGTGGATTTTTTTTATGAAATCATTTATTAGAATTCCGCAATAACAATTAATAACTGTTCTCGTTCGACTGAATGCATCAAAGATCCGATGGACTAACGAAATTAATGAATCCATAAACGATCATCTAGTGTGCGTTAGTGTATATATATGTTGTTATAGCATATTGGGACACTACTTTTGATTCATATATGGCGGAAGAGTGAATTGTTAATGCATTGAGTTGGCTTACATGGAAGATGTGAGCAACAGCATGGAATCAAATATAATTAAAAGAATAAAATTAGTGCATTTGGTATATGGACAGAAAAAAAAACAATTCCCATCACGCTCGACTTTTTAGCGGATAAGTTTAAAATTCATAACAACAATGAGAGTTGTCTCAAAAAACACATTGGCAGAACAAAAAAAAAATCCACTCTTTTAATTTATGCAAATTGAATGTAAATAGACATTAATTGGATTTTTCAATTCATTTTTTTTTCGAAAATAAGAGTTTTATGCATAAAAAAATATTATTAATAATGATAATAGTAATGATAATGACACACAAATACAATGAGAAACTTCAAATTGATTTGTTACATTTAAATCTATTTACATTAGGTGGGTTGTAATAGCGGACGAGTATGTGTGTCAATTTTTGTATATATACATATATGTGCACATTGAACGATTGGATGAATCCCCTCAGGCCCATTGTCCAAAGTGGGCAACAACAACCAAAAAACTACCAGCTCAACGACGAATTTTCGATTTAGTCATTATCGAATAAAAACTGACGGAAGAATAAATACACAAATGGAGAACAACAACCAAAATCATTATATGGAACTAGATGAATGTAGAGCATTTAGCTAAATAAACAAAAATACTAAAATTTAAATATTGAACTATCGAAATTTGTAAACGTTTTTCATAACCGTTCATGTATAACACACAAATATCGGTGAACTCAATGCGGCTGTTCGTGATTATGACCGGCGGCTTTTTGATTATTCAAACATTTTTTTTCCGACTAAATTTGAGTTAATATGGAATTGGTTTTTAAATTGGTATTTTTTTAATTACTTATTACGAGTTATACTTGCTTCATTACTCTGCATTTTTCCACTCTGAATATTCGTGGATAAAATTATTTTGAACATTTGTGTTGTTTTTTTTTTTGTTGACGTCACCTGCGATGAATATTTGTTTACATCCTCCAAAAATTGCGTTTCAATCAAATGGAATTTTTACTATGAATTCATTTTAATGGAACATTTTTTGAAGCAAAAAAATTTATTCCCGCTTTTTTGATTTCACTGGAATGCAAAATATTCGAATAAAACAAAAATTACGTGGGCCATAATACGAAGGCTAGTAAAGCTTACCGATATACTATAAAACTTGTGAGCACTTTGAAATGCTCAATAATCAGTAAATAGACGTAAACAAAATGAATTCTAAACTACGATTCATTGGATGTAATGTATGGCCGATTGAGCATTCACTGCGAAAACGAAGAGGAAATCGAATGAAAATGAAATAAAAATTGACATATCTTTGTTACTTCACTATATTTCCGTGAGAGCAAAATTTCATTCAAATTCCAGCGTTAAGTTTGGTGATTTCATCTCGAAAAAATTCTATATATTTTACTATTTTTATTTGTTCCTATTAAACTTTCGATTGCTCATTTCAACTTTTTAGGCGTCAATACACAAGAGATTTCCGGAAAAAAAAAATCCAACAAATTGAACGTCGTCAACGTTTAATCTATAATTACCAAGTAAAATTGTGATAATAAATCAATACTTTGTAGAGTCTAATTGGAAAATACTATATAACTTGTGTATGAAACCAGAGGATGGCATTAATCAATAAACTGAATACTAACTAACAAACAAACCAACCAAAATTATTGTCGATGTAATAAAAACAAAACCAAATCTTAAAAACTATTACATACAAATAAAGAATATAAATACGAATAAATGCAAACAATGTTTTCCTTTTATTGGATTTATTTACTCATTGGGCGGGAGCAAGCGACTTTGATTTAGGTACTTGATGATAGAGAATGATTCTTTCGCATCCAATTTATTGGAAGGAAATTGAAGCGATATCCCTCGAAAGGTGAAACCGATTAGAATACAAATGCGGCTACATTCACATCACGCACCATACCAAAAACACAAACACACATACATGAACGGAACAATTTATGAAGGCATGACTTAGGTAAGTAAATACGCACCTTATCGAATTGCTTTCGAAACGAATCCAACCGTCTCTTAATACACTTGATGCATTTTAAACATTTATAACCATAAAATGTCAAACTCGAAACGATACAAAAGAGACCGAAAGAGTTTTTTTTCTTTCTTTGCCACTTTTTGCCCAACAACTTAAAACAAATAACACCCATTTGATTTCGATGAACAAAATAGAAAAGGAAAAACGCTGAATTGGAAATGGCGAATATAATGCGTGCGAGACGGAAAAAGAGCACTTGATCAGACTTGAAATATATGTAAAACAATGGCGCCAATGCACAGACACACATACACACGCACGCAAACATTACCGCACAGAAGCGAATTGGCAGAAAAGTCATTTTATGATTACGTCGTTCGTTTTTGGTGTTATTTTAAACACACGTAATCCAGTGGAAATGGTTAGAAATTGTGTAAACAAAACACATACCGAAATGCGTTTTCCCGTCGACGGCGAAACAAACGAAAAACCACCCTAATCAGAGAAACAATGCCATGGTGAAAATGCAGAATGAATTTTAAATTTCCGTTTTCTTTTACGATTTTTGCAAAGAGTCGTCTTGTTGCTTTTTCTTCGTTTATTGCTTTGGTGCTGTCGTTCCTTCGCTTCAATTCGTGCAGAAATAAGGAGAAACAGAGAGAAAGAGCTTCAATACCGCACAGAGACAGCGAGGTAGAGCGGGTGTTTCGGAAATAGATTTGGTTACTTTGGACGTGCCATTAAATTTTCACTTGGATTTTGCCACGCTCTGTCTTCAGCACAAATGTAGAACGACGCTTCGAAATAAAAGTGATATTTAGAGACGCGACAAACACCAGAACATTGTTTATGGTTGTTTTTTTTCTTTCGCTCATTGCCATTGCACAAGGATTCATTCATATTGTAGCACGAATTTGGCTCCAAGATGGATTGTCGTACAGTGTACGACTCGTACACTCTTTGGTATTTCGGTTCGGAGCTAGCAGAATGAGAGAAAGAAAAAACTAAGTAGAACGCACACAATCAATTACAGTTTTTAATTCAAACGGAATATTGGTGCTTTGCCTCATCACTCTTGTTCTTTTTCTCCAAATAACAAGTTGTGGTGTAATCCATTTTGTAACCACGAAATGCACCCGTCAATCGTAATAGATTCGGTGCGCAGCAGCAGCAGCAGCAGCAGTAGAAGGAGAAAACAGAAGATGGGAGAAGTAATAAAAAATAAATATCACCGCCACAAAGAATAACAATCACAACCTTGGCTTGCTTAACATGGATTTGTGGTTCGTTTCGGTTGGCTTCGATTCGAAAAAGAGTAGCAATCAAGCGAGCAAGCTCTTATTGCCGAACCCAAAAAGTACTGCAATTGCTAGCTCCAAGTCATTTAGATGCTTTTTTTTCTGATTTTGTCACGAGCAGAAAGAAAATGCCATTTTGAGCCCTCTGTTGTCGACATTCGTCGCGCTGAACTCAAACGAACGAACGATTGTTTTATTTTCTAAGGTACTTGATATTGCAAACGCTGTATTTTATTGTCACGCATTCCGCGCCACCAGAAAATATTTATGGAAGATTCGCGATGGTAACGAAAAACACAGAAAAAAAACCAGTCAACAAAACGCAAAGACAAAATGCCAACCGCACATAAAGGAGAGATGTCAAAGAAGTTCAGTTTGATTTTCAATTTATTTTCGCAAGATTTGAACCACTTTGCGAGCACTATTTCGTGCGCAAGTTACATGCAATTTAACCGACATTCGCAATTGATACACTTTTTTTTGCCCGCCTTTTATGTGAATGGTGATTTTGCTCTTCGATACACGACGTTTTATCTATGTATCGAGTCGAAAGATATTTTATCGATGATCCATTAAAAAGGACTAGAGAGAAAATATAATTTCTTCGTTCGAACGCGGAGGAAAAAGGAAATGAATTGGTAGCCCATGTCTTCGCCTCTCAACCGCCATTTCTTTGATGCATTAGACAAGCAAAAAAACGAAAAGAAAATGGTAAATTGAATTGGTAATTAGTTCAGTGACCGTCAATTGCAATCTCGAAAGGAAATCAATCGTATGATTACATCCGGCTGTCATTTGGCTCAAGATAAAGTATTTATTATCTAAATATTAATTTCGTTCCATTGCACGCAGGCGGATGCGATAACGTCAGAAACGATGAATCGAGCGACGATTCATCATCAAAGAGCACAGTAGCGGTGGGTCTGTGTAACATATCATCTAATTTGCGTATACCTCATGAATACTTGATGCGAACATGAATCGGATATCAAGTATCGCACCGCATGCAGTCCATCGAAGCGCGTAGGTGGTTGACCATTTAATTGACCGTTATTGAAAAATAGCAAAATCCAATTATTCACCAACAATTAATTTAAAAGCTTGGATGCGGGCAAGCAAAAACAACGACGAGGGGCGACGACAACGGTTTCTATTTATTTTTCACGGTAATTGACATTGTTTCGACTTGATTATTAAATCATACGTTTTCTGCAAGTGATTTAAATACATTACTTGCCGAGATATATAGGTCATTGTGGTGGAAGATGTATACTTTAACGCTTGAATATTCTGAAATCAACAATAATAATTGGCACCTAGCAGCAAACATTATTCGCCTTATCTCATTATGAAACTATTGAATTATTCAACCGAGGAGCCACCGCTTTATCTCATAAACATTGATACAATGAAACCAATGCATAACATAGCAAACTATTGCATTTAATATATACCAGCATGTTGCGCGTACATATCAAATCATGGCTTCACTCCAGCTTTGACGCTCTGGGTATAAATATCGTATAAATCGCTTTCATTCAAATTAATTCAGTGTGTGAACAAAAAGCTGTCACCCAGACTACAATGAAAAGTTACCGCACCGACTTTTTCAATGTGACAAATTGCACGAAATCAAAGTTATGAATAGAAAAATTTGCAGCGTTTCCATATGCATGCAACAGTGGAGGGAAAAAGTGTTAATGAATTGAAAATAAAGTTTATAAATTTTAATGAATGCTCGAAAACGTGTGCGGTGAACGCAAATACAGAGTAACATTTAAAGGATAATTGACTCGAGGTGAAAAAATACGAGCGAACGCGTGCAAATTAAAAAAATATTTACCTTATGCAAATACAAAGGCAGAAATATCGAATCGTTAAAACCCACCCGAATGCATGTTGATCATTCAATTTTAATTTAATTTCTGTTCTCAAATTGTGTTTCGGGATATTTGCGAAAAGCAGCGCTGCCATTGGCAGGAGAATTATCACACATCAGAGTCACAAAAATAAAGGTAAACGTTTTATGAACGAACAAATCGTATCGAATCGCAGCCGTTAAATAGCCCATCGAGTTCATATAAAATGCGAACCGCTTGGTTGGCGTTGTGAACATCAATTTCGTACCTAATTTATGTTACTGTTAATGTTTTTGTTTTTATTTATTTGCTTTTTGTTGTTGCTGCTGTCGAAAAAGTGAATTAATTATTTTTATCGTGAAATACCCGAAAACCCATAAAAGCATAAAAATACCATTTACAAAAGGAAATTGAATTATTTCTTTGTGTAGCAAATATATTTTTTTTTTGTTTTTTCTTTCACTCTCTCGTTCATTCATACATTCGTTTCGGTTCGGTGGTATAGCAAACAGTCGCGCGCGCGCACATAACAGCCGACCAAATTATTCGATATACGAAATGAAAATCGATTTGATCAAGCGGCACATCAGTGGCTGTGGCCCAGCATTTTTTGTCATCCTTACAATTTTGATGGCAACAATGAATACGGTGAATAATTAAAAGCAATGTGCATTAAGTGTGTGTGTGTGTGTGTGCAAAAATCGAAATGCACTTTTTCGTTGTTGTTTTTGTTCTGTGAGCTATATTCACGCAATTGTATCACTTGAATTTTCGACTGGATGTGTAATGAACCTTAAACAAAGAGCGGAACATACGTCGATATTAAGCGAATGTGCATTGTGCAATGAGTTTTTTTGCTCTCTTTCTCTCTCCCTCGCTCTCTTTTTCTCCTTTCTGTTGATCCAAAAAAATATTCAAACAACGTCATTTTTTTCCCATCTGCTCTCGTTGAAGCCTTCGAAAGTTGTTTATTTCCATTTTTTCCTACAATTTTTTTTTCTATTTTTGAGTAATTCGAAAATAGCTAATAAATGATGTGAGTTTAACGGGTCGAACGAGAAAAATGCATTTCACAACAACTGTCCAAATGGAAATTACTTTGTTTTATTTTCTCGCTCATCCATTTTCCATTCAAGTTGTACACCTGAAAACTTTTCTCTGGGATGTTTTAATTTCTCGAAACGAGAAAAAAAAAACATTTCGATAGACTGACATTCATTTGGGAAAAATGCATTGGAGTGAGTTTTTTTGCCTTAGTTCGATAAAAGGATATATAGTCTGCGACAGCATCATTTCAGTTAATTATTCATCATTGCTTCGGTTGGTTCAGTCAATACATGTTCAGTTGCTACGTGTTGCGTAATTGCATCAATCGGTTTGTGTCGCGTTTCACATTGAGGATTTTATCTGGCGATTAATTTGCAAGTGGTAAATCCATATCTGAAACGCGACGCTTATCCCAACATTTCACAAAACTCGCAATATCGCAATCAAAACTCACAAAAACCAATCGATTCAACTGAATCAGAGATGTCTTCGAATCCGAATTTCACGCAATTAAATATCAATCATTATCATCAAAATCGATATTGGTTCGATATAGATACACAATTATGGTTTGAAATTTGTGCCACAATATGTAATATCAAACCACACTAGTTAGATGCTCGACCCAGAAAACCGAAGCGCTGCTTATTGAACCTCATCAATGTTTGGATTGTATCTGAGAATTATTGAAACTAATTGAAATTACATTAATGTCAGTTGGGATTGAAATTCACCGCATTCATTCGCATAGCATATATGCCATCGCGTTCAATCGCAATAGTTGACAATAGTTGGACATGAGGTGAACTCATTTCCGATTTCCGATCAATGCAATCGACACAATAGGATTACTTGTATTGAGTTTCTCAAGGACCTACTTCGCATTCACTTGAGATATTTTGATATAATGCTTTCACTTAAGTATTCATTTCATCAGGTGCGGTGAATGTTCGAATGAAGTATGCAATTATGCAAATCTTCCGTTGAGAAACCAACTGAAGTCACATGAGACCCATTTCAGTGGCATTTCACAATTGACACGGTAACCGACCGTGTGGCTGAAGTTAGTTTATAAATTTTAGCACGCCGTGATCGTTAATATAGTGGAATTTTTGCTTACTCTGCACGCAAATTATTTGTATTCACAAATACATCAATTGCAGGTGTTTGGCTTCGATGAAATTTCCTGAAAATCATGAAAATTTATCGTTCAAACTTCGACTGGATTTCGTTGTGCTCGTTTGCACTGCTAAGGTCATTGTTCGATTGCGATTTCACTCCAGGTGATCGTTTTCACACGAATTCAACAAGATTTAAAATTATTATTGAAATGATGGAATTTTAACACTGCAGGAAATTGGCCATTTCGGCAATAAAACAGTGTGAATTGAAGAATTGTTGAGCCTGTTGTTTTGCATTTATGCAAACGATATGAGCCAGAGTGGGCAACAGGCAAAAAAAAACAGTGTTTGTGCACAACGGATTAGGAAAGCATGTCAAATCCATAAATTCCATTGATTAAGTTTGTTTTCTTGGTTCGTTGCACACGTGAGCATATCGGGGTCGACAGTCGAGGTGAAATCATAACAGCAGGTGATTGGTTTTACCATTTTTGGTGAACCAAATTTTAGAGAGTGTGTGTGTGGCCGGGACACGCATGCATTGAATTTTCCAACACAATAATTCATTGGTTTAGTGTCTATTAAATAAACAGTATTTTGCACACCATACATACACACACACAATGTACGCTTCAAGCTTCGGCTTCACATACATTATAATTAATCCAGGCCCTTTAATAAAAGCACAAACTAAAATAAATTCGTTATTTTGCCATTTTATTTATAGTGTTCCAGCCGCAGTATGAAACCGGCACAATCAAGTGCAGAAGCAATTTCTACACAACTGGACAACAACACGGGTGCGGTCAAACCAATTTCAATGCCCGCCCGACAAATACGTTCGAGATCTCGTGAACCAGAGGCTTCCGAAACAAAAGAGTTTAAAACGCATTTCACTTTGAATCCAGATGTGAAAAACCATCTAAAATCCATCGTACCATTTGGTAAGTCATATCAACCGCAGTCCTATTGTTCGCTACAAAGTTCGGACAACTCGTCTGGTGGTAATAGTGGTGATGGTGGTGGTGGTTCCAATACTTCATCGTCGTCGGCGGCGGCGGATGCTTCATTTGCGAGCTCGTCCAGTTCAAGTAGTTCATCGTCTTCTTCGTTTTCCAGCTCGAACGCTCAAGCTGCACCAACTAATCAACAACAGCAAGAAACATCTGCATTCCCTGCATCAGCACCTGCCTCACATTCATCTGGCGATGATTCACTGCCCACCAACGCCGACTACTATCCAATCGCCGCAAGTGAATCGCAATCGAACAATGACCTTAGCAGTGCAAACGAGCAAAACGAAAACCAAGAAGCCACATCTGATACCGGCATTTTTGGCAGCCATAAAAAGACATGGGCATACTTTATGAAAGCACCAACACATATGATGCAAAAATGGCGCAAATTTCATGCGGATTTAAGTGGACGTGGTGCTCTTTATGGCAGCGACTATTTTGCCAACGAATCTTAAACTGCGCGTGTATGTGTCATAATGTCCAAATTCATTGTGAGTTTTATGGACGTTGAGTTCGCTTTCGAATTGTAATAAAAAATAAGGTTTTTGGATGGAAAATGTATGAAAAAATTAATGTTAAAATTTTCAATATGCACGAGACACATATATTTTTTATTGGTCATTAGTTTCATTGTAATAAATTGAAACTGTTTTTGCTTAGGCTCCTTTGATTGATGATTTTTTTTTTATAGTTTTGTAATCGATTCAGATGGAAATGGACAATAAATCCACCATTTTGAAGGTTTGTATTCGAAACTTGAAAAAACGTTCAAAATATATTCTTTTTCGCTTTGTTCGTTGAATGTTTCTTGTTTTTACAGATTTTTTTCTTTCGTTGCGAACAGAAAAGGTAAAAAATTTCGGTTTAACGAGATCGTCCAGGGAAATCATTCTCTTGAATTGGCGACAGAAATTTGAACGAAAAAAAAACTGCGTAACTGATACTATCAGACGTTTGCTTGTGAGAGAGCTATGGAAAAGGTCGATGGCTGGATTATGATTCACATGCCGTTGTCACATGTTTCATGCGGCACGCAACGCAGACGAAACATAAAATCATGTTTCAAAGTGTGTTGCGTTGCTATGAAGACGACCATCGCATTAAAAATGCGCACTGATTTTTTCCTTGGTTCTTGTTGGTGTTGAATAAAATTCAAGTTTATATATTGGCAGTTTGTTAATCAATTCGCAGTCATAACTAAGCGACAGAGCCTAATCAAAGCCCAGCGTTATTACAACAAATTAATTAATCAATCAATTTTTTGTTGCAGTGCCTGCTGTGTCTGCGCTCGTGTGTCAACCAATTGGTTTCCATGCTTCGATATTTGTGTGTCTATATGCTTGAAACGCATCATAAACAAGTCGTTGAAACTTGGATGATGGATTGCTGTCTATGTCAATGTAGCCACAGTAAAACACAGCGGTATCTGTTTTTCTTCTCTTACTTGTTCGTTCGTTGGTTTGTTTGAAAACTAGTCGCTCAAAACACTTTACCGGTTTTGATTACTGTTCGTTCATTTCATTTTGCCGATGTGACGCATTGGTCGTAATGGCCAAAATGTACATTTATCTTTCACTCAAAATGAGATAACGATTCAAGTTTCTTTCAACTCATGGCGCTTGGTGTGCGTGCGTGTGTTTTTTCTCTTTTCAACCCACAAAGTTTACCGAAATTTTTGATAGCGAAGATCCAAATGTAAATGTCATTGGATTCGTGCGAAGAAAATCATCCTCTCGAAAAACATGTACCAAAACGTACATGGTATAAACTAAAGTTTATGTCGTATGGAATAATTACATTTTGCACAACGATTGCCATTATGCTGATTTAAAACCAAGTGGCGAGCGAGGATAACGAACAGGGTGCATCTCATCGATTTGATGGTGCCAATGAGAAAAATATCAATTTTGACAGCAACGGAGAGAAAGAGGTAGAAAACCAGAAAAATTATTAATAATTGTAATGACTTCGATAGGAATTCGGGGAACCCGTCCAGGGAGCTCTGCGACATCCTGTTATATTCTTAGTATCCGAATCAACGATTCGCATGTTGGCGCTCTTTCTCTCTTGTTCACTCGCAACGCAGCGCTTTTTAGCGGGCAAAAACTTTAGAGCACATTATCTTTGATTTTATGGCTCGTCGAAATGGTTTAAAGCAGAAGCAAAGAAGAAATTCCTTTCGCGCGACACATTCTGGCCACATCCCAAACCGTCCACAAATAACTCCGCGATTTGCATAGCATTGAGAGGCGAATAAACTTTTAATAAACATCACATACATATAGACGACAGCATATAGAATACTATCTGCGAAAGCTTTTTGTGTTTGATTATTTGGCCATGGCGTTTTTTTCTGCGTTTACTGACAACAAAAGAAGAGGCATCCAAACAAAATCCAGTTTAAGAACAAACTTCACCCGCAACAACAAAGACGCAATAAAACATTTAACAAATTTTTCGCCAAAATTGTGCATGTGCCCAAAATAATGCAATAAATCATTCGGTGTAAGCCTTCAACAAGCGCGAACCAAATTTCAAAAAGAAAAAAACCCAGAATTTCTGTGCATCTTGAGCGCACAACCACATGCCACGATGAAAGCGTAAGCCAGCAAAAACTTTGTTTGAATGCATCATTTCTGAGTCATCAATCTGCACGTTTTTGTCTCTGTTTATCGATAATTTGCGCGGCAAAATATCGATTCAAGTCGCAAAAGTCCCTTCAAAACCACTGCAGACATGAAATTTCATGAGAAATTGCGCGGTTTCGGGTACTAAGTCAATGACTGCGCTCACACTTCCTTAAGGAGATAAAAACAACATTCCTAATGGTAAATAGCCACTTTCATTCAGTGCGCAACATTCAATCATATTCAATTTTGACTGCTTCTTAATGGGTTTTTGTCTGGAATTCCAAGCTATGAAACAGACATTTGCAGCATTCTCGTCCCGATTTTTCCGATGACTTTCAACAATACTCCGGAATTCAGGCTTTAGAGAGAAAATCGAAAAGGAAATCTCAATGAAAACCGTTGTCTCAAATGAAAACATTGCTAATTGAGAGAAATCCCGCCAACGGAACACAACCGTACCCTCAAGAAAATTCAATTAGACTATGTCTTGCTGTAAATCACTTGTGATTTTCAAATGTAAGATTTTAATTCCACGATAAGAATATAATTATACGTTCAATACATCCATGCGGACCCGCATAAGCCGCATTATTGTAATGTAATTTTCTGGCGGCTGGTGAGACAGAATCGAATTAGTTCGGATCAGAAGTATAATTACGGCAATGACGACAACACACTATCAAATACTAGCGGCGTACGATTTCTAATTGTCTGAACATTTCGTTGATTGCCAGTAATAATTGAATCTGTGAATGGCGACGACGGTAATGAGGCAGCTACCGCAATTATAACCTTTCATTACATGCGATTAAAAATGCAATAAAATTAATCAATCTCAAAATACGTTCATCAAGTGCATTTTTCGACTCAATTTCCCTCAATGCCTATTGAAATTGGCATCATTTGAGCAAAGAAGAAAAAAACTTGAAGAAATGATGAAAAGCAACGAGATCTTCTGATTTTAATAAACGGTGATTTCATCGGCATAAGTGCGCAGTTGTGTGTTCTCATTCCGATCGTATCGAGCTGTGATTGTGTCTAAAATTAACGTTATTTTTATGTAAATAGTTGTTTTGGTCCGGTGTGTGTTTTTGTTGTGCCGTTTGATTTTATTTGTTTTGTGCTAATCTCCAAACTGCACTTGATATCAATTTTCTAAAGAGGTGAATAATCGATGTGGATTCCATCCGTTGAAATGAAAGAAGAACCGACGAACGCGAATCACGATCAAATAAAATGTCATTAAATGGCTAATTTATTCAAATGAGAAATTGAAACGAAACCAGTAACCGGAGTGCGAAGTAAGAGACCAAGCTCGTACACGGCAGGGCAAAAGAAGACAGAAATATAATTTGCTGTTGCTTCTGCACTAGATTATTCCGTTCAATACCGGCCGATTGGTATGAGTGATCATCATCAGGTTTGCGACGCGTTTGATTTTTTTTCTCATCTTTCTTTCTATTTATCTTTCTTCGTTGCCGTTGAGCTCTCAATCTGGAATACCTGTATATACATATATATTGAATTGTACATCGAAACAAAAGAGAAAAAAAAACACGTCAATCATGAAAGAAAACAAAATACAGCAAAAAGAACACACGATAAAAGTGTCGCGTCGTGCAAGTTCTTCTTCGTGTATGGCATAGAATGAAATGGAAAGAAAAATAAAAACACAGCAGAAAAGAATATGCGCGACACACAAACAGTGATCACTCAAACACCACAACAAAGCGTGCCACAGACTTGATTCTTATGTCTGAATATAGAAGAGAAGAAAAAATGCCAATGACAACGCCAAGAATTCGATGCCAAGCCAATATTTGGCTTTGAATAAGTAGTTGGATCGAACTACTTAATAAGTGAAGACGTGCTAAATAGAAGGAATCAAACGAACGAACCATAGCATCGAGTCGCGGCTCTCTTTGTTCCAATTATTTTTTTGTCATTTACGCGGCGGGACATTTTATTTTGATTTTTTTAGGAGATTTCGTCAAACAAATAAAAAAGAAATCGGTGCTCTGTGATAATTATCGAAAAATTTGTGCCATTGCTTGAGATTGATTTTTGTCTTTGTAGTTAATTTTTTTTATTGGAATTTTTCGCATTTTCAAAACAAAAAAACCACTCGCTCGTCAGAAGAATAAAACGGAAAAAAAATCAACGAAACGAAACACATAGGCAACGAGGTCGCATTCAACAAATAACGGCAAACATGTTGTTACGTGCTCATAAAAGTGGATTTTTATTAATTTTGGCATTTTGTTCGTTTGAAAGAGTAAGTTTACCAACGCAAGAAAAACAACCAAAACACACTTGTTTCAGCTTTGTTTCTATCGTGTGCATTTAAAAACGTGGAAAAATGCGAATAATTCTTTTTTGTTATTGCTGTTGAATGTGTAACATTTCACTTCAAAGTGGATGAAGAAGACTATCGTGCACTTTGATGTGTACGGGAAATGCGAGTTCAAAGACTTGCAAAAAAAAGAAATCGAGAATTTGAATCACAAATAGATGTACACAAAAAACGCAGAAGAAAAAAACTCGTTTGAGAGCAAAAACATGACTCTTATCTTCCAGTCTCGACATCAAAGTGTGTGTATCTGTTTGTGGTGTACAGTGTACATAAGCATGCTCATAAATCAGTAGCCGAAACACCAAACTTCAAATGAATTCATATAACGGAAGATTTGAGTTGGCCTCACCCTCAAAAGTGAACATTCTGCGTGAACCCATAACATACCGTTAATTCTCAGCGATTGGCTCATACGGTTCAAAAATAATACGCAAATTTTTTTTTCGGCCAAACCGACAAAAATCCATTCCCACAATGATCTTATCTAATAATTTATTTGGAATTGTTAAAATGTCAGATCCTATAGAGATGTTCAAATTTTCATTTATTTCTTAATTTTCTCTCTCTCTCTCTCTCTCTCTCCCACACCTGTCCATTGCATTGTGCCTCTTTGAACGGTGATCTTTAACTAATGTCGACGAAGATGAAACAAATTTTTGTGGTTAAAAATGAATTTTTTAAAATTCTACCCCAGGTAAAAATGTCTTGGTGATTCGAATCCAGTTTGTTGTTTCAATGGCAATAATCAAGAAGGTCAACTAGCTCCCGATGACTGAAAATCAACAAATTGGTTTATCTATTTAAACGATAATGAATTGATTCCCATGCACCATTAACCGTGTGTGTGTGTGTGTGTGTGCACGCGCCTGCGGCTCGTTTGCAATGTGCTCTTTCTCGATCAAGATAAAATTAAGAAATAACGAACAAAATTAACGAAACATTCCAATGTCAAAGTGTCGTTATCTCTGTAAATCACAAAATTTAATTTCGCAGGATTTTGTTTGAAACAGTTTCGTTCTATTGACGTCGTTCTTTTTTTTAATTCTCTCCAACGGTGCCTTGGAAATCAATTAAAAAGATTGACATTTTTCATGTGGCTCAGGCGCCATAGATTTAGCCTTTTCATTAGAAAAAAACAATGCATTTTAACACTTTAATTCATGGCTGTCTCATAAAAATCTTGCGCTCACGAGAACAATTATCTATTGACATTGAAATAACCGCGTGGTAAACACTCCTTACTTTGACGCAATTGTTTCAATACACTCTTTTGTGTGTTCGGAACAGCCAATTCGGGTCGTTTTCAAGCATGCGCTAGAACATGTAAATTAATTATTTATTTTGAATTTATTTAGCAATGGGCCTGGGCCCTTTTCTGTCGTTTTTTTGTATGCTGGCGGCAACGAACAATGACATATATTTAAAATAGGTGATAAAATGGAATGTGAGATGGATTTTCTTGAGCAAATTTTGTGCGACGAGAGGAAGAGAGAAGTCAAATTTAAATGAGAAAATTCATTTTGTCTGTGAACGTGAATTGTGAAGACAACGAGCGAGCGAGCGAGCAAGAGAAAGAGAGTATACATCATCGGCGTGCCATGTTTTATTACCAGCTCTTTTTCGGTTTAACAACATCAAGTTTTCGGTTTTATTATTCTGTATCGCCTCTTTTAAGAGGAAAAACTCTCATTTCGCTTTTCATAATACATTCTTTATTAAATTAAACAATATAATGTAAAATATTATATGCACCCATGCTAGCGGCTTCAAAACCAACACATACACACACACACACAACTTGCCTCCATCATTAAGTGTGACATCGAGGGAGAGCGAATGCGAGGCTGGTGTGAATAGACTGCGGTAGACTGCGATAGAATGAGCGCGAGTATATTTTTTTTATTGCGCATATATTTATCCGAAGACATATCAGCGACAAACAGGTCGACAAAGGAGTCGAAAAATCCACGTTCAGTTTCATTCACTCGCTCGCTCGCTCACATTTCAGATCTTTTCTCGTACATTTTTCTGTTTTGTTCTCTTCCAACAACATGACAAAGAAATATTATGAAGAGCCGGCTGAGATAACGTCTCGTGATACAAATTGTATTATGTCTCTTAAAAAATTTAGGCAACCAAGAAAAAAAAAGAAACGCCAAGCAACAAAACGGAAACGAACGGCTAAATGTATATGTGCTGTTTAAGAAATTATTTGCCTGTAGATTTTTCTTTCTCTTTCATTTGATTACCTTGCACATTGCATTGCTGGCTGTTGGTGGGTGAAATTCGCATCACGACGACAACATTTCATATTCTCTGGAGATGCTCTAAATCCAAAGACAAAAGCATACACACAAATTTTTGGTGGTATTCCTTGTTGGGCCCATTGTCTTTTTGGGAACATGGGAAATTAGCAAAAATTGTATTCAAAATACGCGACATGAAACCTTAACCGAAATATTATAAAAGCAGATGTTCGTAAAACATTACAAAATTATTTGTAGCCTCCTCTTGTTATGAAAAAATTCTCTTGACAAAAAATTTCCCGTTCGCATCGTGCTTAACCCTCTAATGCATACAACCGCCTCTAGACGGGCAACATTTGAACGCCTGTAGAACGTAAACCGTACATCAGATCACATTGCTATGAAGAGAATTTTTATTCGTCATTGTTCTCTCTTCATTTTTGTCTTTGGCAATATTTGTCTATGTAGTGTTATTGTAAAGTTATAAACAAAAAAGTGTGCAAAAACATAAATTTGACAAAATAAATTATTCGAACTCCAAATTAGGCAAATTTTAGACACTCTTAAACGATGGATTTGATTGTTCTCTGATTTATGTCAAGTACCAGTACTCCCAGCCCTGGGAAAAATTAATGTATTAGAGGGTTAAGCTTTTCACTTGCAGTTAATTCACTTATTAGTGCTGAACTAACACAATCAAATTGCGTACGCAGCATATTTTCATGGCGTTTTTTTGGTTTTATTTCCTTCAAAAGAATCCTTAAAACGAGATCAAATTGTGTGTTCCACATTTTTGCTTTTGCATAATTCTAACCGCCAAAGAAATTACAAACACTATTACATTTTTTCGGATTGCCATAAAATGTGCTTCCGAATAGAAAAATAGAGCTATTTAGAACCGGGCTTGCTTCATAAGCATGCAGAAAAGGCAACGATCAATTTAGGTAACCTCATTGGTTGTGGCCATTCCTGTACTTCACTGTCATCCATCGACTTCTCCTCATTTCACTCTCTTTGACTCTCTCTCTCTCGTTCTTCGTCTCTTTCTCTGTGAAAAGTTTCGTGTTAGGGCAAAATCCGCATCGATCCGACAGACAACGATGCGGAAAAGCGCTAAAAGCCATCAATATTGTATGTATGCATCAAAATCGTAGACAAACTGAGTGTATTTTGTTTCAGCTTGCGTTCTTTTGGCGAACCGACGTTCCATCATCATTGCGAAACCGTCGTCAACCAAAGAGGAAAAAACGACCCATTTTTGCCACATATGAGAAAAGTTTAAGAGATTTTCGTTATTACTGCTCTTTTTCCGGTCGGATATTTACACACTTTGTCGTTTATATACATTGCTTAAAATGATGCTGGTCTCTGTTTTCGTCTACTTCACATGCATACGTAGTAGGAATAATGTATGAGTTTTGAGGCAGAAAAACATTTGCAGTGTCAAAAACATTGAACAATTTTGATTTTTCAGGTTTGATAATATTCATAAAGAGAAATGATTAACCCCACAGCAATTTCAACTTCAAAACATTCTTCATGTTCACAAAGGATCGTACATACACGCACACATGGCAAACACCTGAAATAACAATACATGGTTTTTTAGGAATTGCTCCCATTTTGCCGAATGAAAATGAGTTTCGCATTCATTTTTGTGTTGTGCGCCAACGAAACAGCAACTTGACGAACAACATTTTTATCGCTTGCGTATGATTTTGATGGAAAAAGTTTGGGTCGCAGCTGGATGTTTTCTTTTTCGTGTAAATTTTAATGACGAGAATATTTCAACAAACGCTCTTTTGAAGCGGAATAAAATCACACCGAGTTTTTATCAAATTACATGCAGAAATCACGAAAGTATCTTTTGTGGGAATGTGGCGTGCAATCAATTTTCATGATCTGATTCGTTGAGTAAATTAATAAAATTATCGAAAGTTCGCAGTGAATCTTATTAAACACTTTACTTACACCTGGTTGTTCGGGTGAAGAGTAAGAATTCCAAGCAGCGAATTAAATAAATGAGAACAAATTAAAATTAGCCGCTGTTTTTTCTCTGGAAGATTATTTATATCCAATCAGTTGTTACACACACATCATTTTCAAGTATCACTTTAATTTCTCAATTAAAACCCACTAATACCGAATGACACAATCGTATCGTACAAAAGACACAAATTATTACATAAAGCACTCGCTTTGAAGAACCAATAAAACTTGAAGAACCAATAAAATTGGCGAAATGTTAAATGTCACTTTCAAACCCAGAGAGAGAAATAATACACCGTGTTCTATCGGTTTAACTTATTTAACGCGTGTGAACTAGATTCGCGCACTGGGAACGATCGCCGCAGTTAAAATACGACTGAAACACTCGAAACAGACAAGAGATCAACTGATCGATGCGAAAAATATATGGCAAAAAAAGGTAAAAAAAATAAAACAAGAATCGTACAACGAAATCGACAGCAGAGCAGAGCGAAGGCAAGAAAAAAGTGCGGTAAAGCGTAATCAACCGAAAAACAGAGCAAGAGCGACTGATATTTAACTGAGCGATCAAAATAGAGCCACACATCGAAAATGCTCACGTACGAACGAACAAACAAACGAAAAAAAATTGTATTATCCGCTATTATCCCATGCAAAGTGAAAGAAATCTGTACGCATACTGCAGTT